GGGGGGCATGTGAAAAAATTGCTTCCCAAATCCCACCAGTCCCCCTCCCTCATAAAAAATGAACGGTCCCTAATGTATAAAACAATTCCGTTAAACCTCCATTAAGCGGCCACCCTCTAATAAGAAGACACCATTCGAATTCCCGAATTTCACTTTACGTATCTATATTTGATCTCCATTACGCGGCCACCCCTATTAAAGGTCAAATGAACCAAAATTTAGACATCTTTTTTTCAGCCATTTTATAGCTACTACATGCTAAACTGAAAAAAAAAAAAAAACATGTGAAAGGAAACTTATGCGGAAATTTTTCTTTCTGAGCCGTGAAAAGGAGTAAAAAAGTTAAAAGTAAGAAGACAGCCGATGGCGTCACCAAAACGTTTCCAAAATGACCGCGCACTTCAACGGAAGGAATGGAACTGAGACTCTACATTGTGACGTTATTGCTGTCTTGAACATTGCTGCGTTTCTGCGTCAGTGAGTCTTTCGTGGGGAAGGTTTTGGATCTAAATACAAACCTTATTTTACTTGGGAAATGACCGAGGAGTTCGCCCGCTGTTCGGTGGGTATTATTCGCTTGTTTTTCGTTGTTTTTTTGTCCAATTGCCGGCTTGCAACGTTCCATAGTGAAGTTAAAAATCGTCGGTACCGCGTCTTTCTTGACTACACTTGACGAAGCTTGAAAGAGGGTCCCAAAAAACTGCTTACTACAAGATTTTGTTCGAAGCTGTCTTCAGCTAAGTGTTTTACACAAACGCGCGAATCCTTCGAGGGCATGAGCCATTCACTTTTCATTTTTATAAGCCATTCTCTTTTAAGTTTTGGGTCCTGGGGGAACTTGAAAGTGTTAACTTTTGATTTTGAGTGGTTTTCCTTTGAAGTTCACTGTGAACTTGAAACCAAAACAGTTTCAAATTTCCCTCATTTCTTGAGCTCACCAACAGTGATGGATAAAAAACAGTGATTTTAACATTCCAATATCTCTGCAATGGTTCGTCCAATTCGTTTGAAACTTCAGAATATGTTTATTTTATACCTAATGAGCACATTGGAGTCAAATGAAAAAAATGTCTAAATTTTGGTTCATTTGATCTTTAAGCAGGCGCCGTCACCGTTTGGACTTCCCAATTGGCTGATTTTACGTACTGAAATTCACCTCTGTTAAACGGTCATCTTGTTACATTAGGTGATCAACCGGAGCACAGTTTTATGGTCACGAGGAACTTTCGCTGGCGTTGAACAAAGTCAGTGACTGACTTCACCAAACTGAATTTACGCAATAAGGAGCGGATCCAGGATTTTTTCTTAGGAGGGGCTGCACCACTAAGAATGGCGTGATTGAGTATTTTTTTCTTTTTTTGCAGAATACCAGTTATATTAGAAAGCCACATGTCATCTCGGGGGGAGGGGGTACGCACCCCCTGCACCCTCCCCCTAGATCCGCCCCTGTCAACCCAAATCACAGACGTTCATAATTAATTTTTTCACTTAATGTTAAGTGACACTTACGAACAACATTACATATATATCGAAATTGCTTTACAAAAACAGTTTTTATTGCTCGGGTTAGGGTATTACCACGGGCCCCTGATAAAGTTGTCTGCCTTCGCAACCCAGATTACGCAGTTAACGCGGAGATTTGATTTAATATGGATACTTTGAAGGCGGGAAAGGAATCAGGGTCCGAAGTTAGATCGTCGCTGGAAGTTAAAAAATAAGACCCCATGGCTATCAAGCGACACGTGCATGTGTTTAGCGTATGTGGTAGTAGCGGACGAAGTTAATATTTGAACTATTGTAGATAAAACGTTCGAATACGGGATGCTGAAAATATCATCGACTAATGAACCGGTCATCACTTTCGACCGGTCATTATTTATGGCCCGTGGGTGGCGGAGGATTTTCGGCTAAAGACAGTAACATTTAGCTGATCCCCCCTTTAAATTTTATTTTATTGAAGTGGTCCTTCCTCATAACTCTTGATAAATTTCGTGATCCCCCCGTGTCTTCGCAAACATATTCGCCTTTCCACGCGTTGATATTTACAGAGGGCGACTCTTAAATGATGATGCATTGCATTTTAAGCTCGCAAGATCTGTCTTGAAGATCGCATCATTTGAATTCGTTTGGGCTCTCAGTTATGACTGATCCCAACTTCTATTATCCTAAAATTCAAATGATCCCCCAAAGTCCTTCACCCCCGCCCCGCCCCCCTCTCCCCCTGAAAAGGATGGGAGGAGAGATGGAAACTAGGCCAGAGAGAGCCTGAAGAGAGCCTGGAGAGACACTCATTCCCAGATTGTCCCGTATATGTCATACCTGCGAGAGACTGGGCATTTCCGTGCAGTTTCAACAAACAAAATAAACATGGCGGAAGGGAGTCGGGTGTGTGAGAGAACTCATAAAAATTACTTAAAAACACGCATTTCATAACCCTAACTTAACATGAGTATAAGGTGGAGGATCATACGATTCGTTAAGGATGTAACTTTGGGCGCCAGTCGCCTTGTTGGTGTGACTGTCGCTCGTTTCTTCCTGTCGTGTTGCACTGTGTTCGTGATCCTTTGGGTTGCTGTGCTGATGTACGTGAGTTTTTACTACGCGTATATGCCAACGGTCAGTCACGTAAGGCCAGTCTTCCTGCTATTCGAGTAAGTCCACTTTTTTTCTCTTCTTAAGGAACTGTGAAATTTACGATCTTCGATCTCGGTATGATATGGTGTGGTAACTTAATTTAATTGATTTCTTTTCTTTTCATGGTTTTGTAATTTGTAGCTCGGAGTGCGAGAATGCGCGCCAGAAGGGGTTATGTTCTTTTCCTGAAGCCAATTTGTCTCTGAGTACTGGAGAACGAGTGAGTATTTCTTTGAAAATCTATCAGGTCTCCATAGGTTTAACGTGATATTCAGTCGAAGTTAGCGCGTGATTTTGGTAGTTCACGGGTTTGTGATGTGCCACAACCTGTTTTTCTCAGAAACAAAAGCCTACACTTTTGACTCAGTGAATTTGCATGTCTCATTACATTTCTTACCAGCCGAAGTAATTAATTTAATATCTCTATCTGAGCTCCAAATCTTTTAAAAAAAAAAAACCTTAATTTTTTCCGATTGTCTGAAAGTTCAAATTTGTATAATTACTTTTTGTTTACCTTTCCGTAAGGAGAAATTAGCTGATGATCCTTATTAATGTTACTGTTCGCTGTTTTGATAGATATTGATGAGAGGACAGCGATACCAGGTTTTTTTGGATCTTGAGATGCCACTTTCTCCTGTGAATGAAAAACTAGGTTAGTTTCAGAAAAATATTGGTTTTACTTTGGTAAACCCAATGCTCTTGCCGAAGATGTTCTTTGAAATACCAGCTACTTTTAATGGTTGAGAAATGGTAGTTGACGAATCACTGTGACACAACCCAGGGACAAGTCGTAGCGATCATTTGCTAAATGTGAGACATGGGGGATTTCTGTGCAAATCGTTGTCCCCATACTATGCGGCAAGTAAAATTGCGCATATTGTGTGGTTGCAGAAAGTATCCATACCCCCACCACGGAGGGAATTTCACGTAAGTCTCCCCCTCCTCCCCAGAATTTCCATTTAGTCACCAGTGCTTTTTGGTCCACAAGGTGACTCTGATCCATGTAGACTTGTAACAAGTAATGGCGGCCGTTTTCACGCAACAGTATGTCCTTTACACTTGTTAGCTTCCAAAGTGCTTTTTGAAGAAAGAAAATTTACTGCAAATAAAATGCCATTCAAAAACAAGTATTCAAACGGCAATTTTTTGTGTCAAAGATCTACTTAGTAGGTAAGGAAGGATTTTTGAGTAGCTAGATTGATACTTGAATCCGTATTGAATTGGAAAACATCTGGAAACTAAATCAACCGTCCAGGCCCCCTCCCCTCTGGAATTTCCTGGGACTTTGATCCCCCCACCCCTCCGGAATTTCTAATTTCCTCTGTAGTAGGAGTATAGATATTTTCTGGAACCACACATTTAAAAAATGTATGAATTTGCGCAATCCCCATATGATTGAAGCAAGAAAAGGAGTAAAATTAGTATTGCTGCAGTATGGTTGGCAAAATGGTGCAAAATTCACAAAGTTTATGTCCATCCACATTTAATGTTGTTATTATTATTCATGAATATATTTATTCACATTCAACAACTAAATTTGTATTCAAGAAATATATTAATTCACATTTAACGACGTATTTCGTATTCACAAATATATTTACTCACATCTATGTGATGTATTCATTCACATTCAACGGTTTACATTTATTCACATTCACAATCAAAATATTGGTTCAACACGGTTCAATATTCATTCAACATTTTCTGTGCATCGCCTTTGTGCATCATTAGGTCCCAGCTCATGCTCTATAATTTCTGAACGCAATATGGTGGACGAAGGAAGCCTTATTGTATGAAGGGGTAAAACAAAGACCAAAGACCCCAAACACAAATGTTACATTGGCAGGAACTTTCAATCTCCTACAAGAGTGTGAACCGGAATGGAACACTGCGGAAGTAGGATTGAGAGAGAACATTTAAATAAGGCTCGAGTGTAGCTCTCCAGCAATTACTACTTTTCGTCAATATCATAGCGCAGTACTGAATGAAATACTGGGAAATACATGTCTTTTGCATGGAGAATGGATACGACATGACTCATGAAACTGCACAAACCTTGCAGTTTATTCTGTGACCAGCCCTGAGGTCTTCCGAACTTGATATTCAATATCGGAGGTAGTTCTTGGGGAACAGAGATGACGCAGTGATGAGAGCCATCACCTCCCATCAGTTTGACCCAGGCATGAGTTTGTTGTTGTTTCTTGCCTTGCTCCGAGGGTTTTCCTCTGGGTTCCCCCCCTTTTCCTCCCCCCACCAAAAAAACAGCATCTCCAAATTCCAATTCAACAAGGATAGAGGGTCTGAATGGAAACCTGCTCTTTCTCTCTAAATATTTTAATTCTAATTTATATTTTTCCTTCTGCAACAAAGATCGTCACGTTTCATGTGGACAAAAAAAAATTCAAACGCCTCTTGTTTCAAGGTGGACATTGAAACGTCATATTGTGGAGTATGGGCTTCTCAATGATTTCAGATGAGCAACTAGACAATCTCGTAGAAGGTTTCATGATGAGTGATCAATCAATGGGATGGAAGAGGGAGATTATTGGCCACGTTGACCCTGGAGACTCCAGAATCAGCTGTGCTGTTGTAAGACACCCTCGCATTTTCACCCCTATGATCACTTCGCACCCTTGATGGCTACTCCAACCTTTGCGTCGCTGAGGGGAACAAATCTAGGACAATGCTACAGTTCTGTTACTAGTAGAACATTTAAACAGACAAAAAAAGAAAAACAATGCTAGTATAGTTTCTTTTTTTTAACATTGTTTTAGGAGTATCTTTTTAAAGATTAAAGATTAAAAGAAAATCATCAATACCCCCATGCATGACAGTAACCAGGCTATGGTGTCCGTCGATATGCCACAAGCTACTTGGAGCAGCCACAGAATACGCTCTCCTAGAAATTACAACAGCCCAGCAGATTCTAGAGTTTTCAGGGTCTACGCGGTCAATACTCTCCCTGATTCCATCCGGTTGAACTCTGAGACCTATAATGATTGAAGATGTGTGGTCACCAAGGAATACCTGAACAAAGTCCCATGATCACTCATAAAACATTGTATGAGATTATCGACTTGCTCATCCGAAATCATCGAGCAGTCTGTTATCTCTTCTAGCCCATGTAACGTTTATGTTCAGTTGTGTATGTTTGGGGTCTTTTGTCTTTGTTCTACCCCTTCATGTAATAGGCCTTGCTTCGTTCAGAAATTATAGAGCGGGAGCTAGGACCTAATGATGCGCGAAGGCGGTGCGCAGAAAATGTTGAATGAATATTGCACCCTGTTGAACCAATATTTTGGTTGTGAATGTGAATGAATATGAACCGTTGAATGTGAATGAATACATCCCGTAAATGTGAGTAAATATATTCGTGAATAGGAAATATGTCGTTAAATGTGAGTTAATATATTTCTTGAATATAAATTTAGTTGTTGAATGTGAATAAATTTATTTGTAAATAATAATAACAACATTAAATGTGAATAAAGATAAACTTTGTGAATTTTGCAGCATTTTGCCAACCATATTGCAGCGTGCATACACTTTTTCAACACATTACAGTGACTTATCGCTACGTTGTGTCACCGCGACTCGTCACCTTAGTGTAATGCAAGCTTATTTTTTTAGTGCCTCAGCTTATGAGTCAAATGGTTTGTGTTCAAGCCCAGACTGGGGTCACTGTGTTGTGCAAATTAAATGCTATTTGGGGGGGGGGGGGGGGGGGGGNGGGCAGTGAACCCTGTGCACAGTAGACCAGTATTCCATCAATGGACGGTGGGGGAGGGGTTGTGTTTGAAATACTCCTAGTCAACTTTTGCAATGGATTTACTTGTTAACAAGAATTTCCTTTGTTTGCTGGGTTTTTAACAGATATTTCTGTTGTCTTAATTTAATTTTAGAGTTTTTGTAATTTTAATTTTTAATGCTTAGAATTAACATGTTTTGTTACTTTTTATCGCAGAAGTTTAACATTTCAATGTTTTAGTGTTTTAATGTTTTAATGTTTTACTGTTCTACTAATGACTTCAAAGGGGCTGACACATCATAACAGGGATGGCAGAGTGTACATGTATTTTGAATTGGGGGGCTTACAAGCAAGCACCAGAGGCACTAACTTGTAGGGGTCTGGAGATATTTGTAAAATTATTATTTTATGTAGTTTTTTGCCCCAGCCCCCCTGGCTCTGTCGTCCCTACATAATCCTTTTTATCATTAGTTTTTATTGTGAAATGCCTCTCGAAGAAGTTTATAACAATATCAGAAGTAGCCGGTTTTTTACTTGATAGTTTCTCACATTTTAACATTTATTTGTAGGAATGTTCATTGTAAAGGTAACCTTTTTATCTGATTCTGGGAAAGTTTTGGCAAGTTCAGAAAGATCTGTGAGTATGAATTTCCAGAAAATTGACTAGCCTTTGCACATTTTTTCAGTCATAAATTTAGATGAATGTTTTGTGTGTGATGTAAAATATCACTTTTGACCTGAAGGAAACCTCAAATTTAGTAATAAAAATAATGGTCTACTGAAAAGCATGAAAGTTGTCATGAACAACTAGGGAATATTCTTGGTGGGTGAAATTGAGTAAGATTCCTGATATATGAAAATGATTGTGAACCAGTCGTAAAAAAAATTGAAAAATGTAGGTCATTTTGTAAGATACATTCTCCGTGATGTAGCATTCCTTGAGATTCCTTTAGCAGAATGATATTCAGGTCATTGAAAAATTAACTCTTAGATGAATTGCAAGAGAGTTAACAAGAAGAACACAGAAACATGCTGGAGAATAGTAAACTTCAGCTTATAGAAATAGCAAGGTAGCTGTCTAAGAAACATTACAAAGAGCCCAAAGGTTCCAAGCCATGAAATCCAAGGTACCCAGCACTTAAGCTTAAAAGAAAAAAGCAAGTTTTCCAGTCACCAAAAGGCAAAAGTTAGGTCACCTCTGCCACGTGGGAACTTCCAGAGCACATCCCTGTGTAGTAACTAAATGTTCTTGTCTATAGAAAGTCGTTAAAATCAACTCTGATCTCTTTTGTTTATTCTTAACTTTCCATCCTTCAAAAGTTACACACATAGCTGAGCGTCTTTTTCTTTTTGTCTTGTAGGGTATGCTGCACTATCAGTCTGCACTTCTGCAGTCTCTTGCCACAGTTTTTTACTCTGTGCCGATGGTATTGGGTTTTGCTGAGGAAAAGCAGATTGTGAGAATAAACCTGTTTGAAGAATATGTGGAGGACTCTGTAAGTGTTGTCCAGTACATATATGTCTGTGTTATGGCTATGGAAGTTCTGTGTAAGTTAGACTGGTTAGTGTAAAACGCAGACTGCGATTGTAGGGTAATATGCATAATGAGTGTAAAAAGCAGACTAGACTTTTTAACCAAATATTTTTTAACAATTCCATCTTTGAGAGCTAACTGTAAACAGGCTAACCAGAGTGCTATTCAGCCTAACTTGAGTGATATTCAGGCAAACTGGAAAGATATTCAGGCTAACTGTAGTGAAGACGTTCACTCTGATTAGCCTGAAAAACACTCTTTAAAGTCAGCACTTGATAATGGAAATAACACGATATGTTTGAAAAGTACGTGGTCTGCATTTTACCCCTGCTCTGCAGTCTGCATTTTACTATCAGTCTGCAATTTACCCCTGGACTGCTGCCTTACACTGACCGCATTCAGGACTTATGGAATTATATTAACTATTGCACAAGATATTTTACCTTAAAAATTTGTTACTGCTGACCTTGCTCTACAGAGATCCTTGTCTAATTAAGTCCTTGCTTGCCTTATGAATTTTCCCTTGCAAAACACCAGTAAGTCATAGCCATTAGACTACATTTCTTTAGTCAGACTACATGTACTTCATCAGATGAGTATGGAATATTTCGAGTCTACGTGTATCTCAGGTGTGTTTTGTACACCAGATGGAACATGTTTAAAGAATTTGAGTTGCCTGTTTACTTAGCCCAGGCTATAAAATATGTTTGCTAGCACGAAGAGCTTAAACAAGCAATCATGTTCAGTGGATTTCTGGTGATAAATAACAAGCCCATTAAACTGATGCAATGTATCTGTGGAGTGAGATATGGCAGAATCAATTCCTCACTTACTCTCACTTCCCCACTAGCTAAATTATTATGCTCACTCATTCAGTCATTCAATTGGCATCAATGTGCGTTGACACTTAAATATGGACATTTATCACAATTGATTATTTTCTAATTAATTCATTAAGTGCGTACAGACACACTCACTAACAGACTCGGAGAAGCAGTGCAAATGCTAAAGAATATGAATAATAACTTTGAAGAGCAACAAAAAAGCTTGCTGTTTCTCCTTTGTGGAAGGAGACCTACTGTATGAGCATATTCGGGGGAATCTTTGTTTACAACATTCACCTCTGGCTTATTAGCATAAGCAATTCAGTTTCTGATCAAGCTACATGTACTAAAATGTCAGTTCTGACTATTGAAAGGGCATAGCATGATTAACTGTGCCAAGAAATTTGAGCCTGATGTATTGAATATGCAGGATTAGAAACTCAAACTTTTACAAATGAAAGAATGTTTCATGAGCCCAAAAATAGCCCTTTTGCCAACCAGATTTGAGATATTTTACAATTTTTAAAAGCCAATTTCTCCTTGAATGGTACAAAGAGCCAAAAATTTCCCCTCTGACTAAGTTTCATAAGCTCTTTAAATGTTGAGCAAAATTACCTAGTGTATAAGTACATGTGAGTGTATGAATAACCATTGTGTCGCTCTAATTATTATTATTATTATTTTTTAGTATCACCCTGCTGTTGGTGCTAATGTCATTGTACTCAGTAAACAAATTGAAATCTACTCTGCCGCCCTCAGGATTGAAGCCCATTTTGTTGGACTCAGGTTGGTTCAGATCTTTCTCTTATGCTTTGCATAATTTTAAATGTTTTAAATTAGAAACAAAATGGAAAATGAATTTCTGGTATGATGAATCTTTTCATCTGTTTATTTTCTGCAGATGAATACTGTAAATTTGTGATTTGAGTAGATTATATTTAACTAATGTAGCAATTATTATTGCTCTGACATAATAAATGAACCGCTTTATAGTCCCCGCCAGAACAAGCAATATTCGTTAGCCCCGCAAAAAGTTACTTCAATAAAATGCAAAGAACAGAATCTTGATCTCCAGTCCCTACTCAGTCCACTTGTCTTAATTGATGTATGTCAAGATCTTAATTGCTACTTTTGCAGTGGGGGTACGTTTTCAAATAGGGGTGTTTTTTTTAAAAAGAAAAAAGATACACACCCAAGAGGAGAATAGCGTTTTCTAAGAAAGGGAGCGCTTATTGGAGGGAGAACACTAAATCGAATCATAACAGTATAGCTGATGTCCTTTTTACGCATTGTGTGCCTAGAAAGCCTTTCTTCAATGTTGTTAGGCTGTATAAGACCCTTTTCATAAATGGCTGCCAGTTTGAAATTCTATTTAACCCCACTAACCTCCTTTGAATTATCAACTTAAAAATGAGGTTAGTCAGGCTAATTTTGATACTTGCAAAAGAATTCATACATGTAAATGGGAGACATTTATGAAAAGGGTTTATAGTACCTGGTTAAGTATGTCGTTACTGTTAAACATTATTATTTAGTTAATAACTGAATGAAAGATGATTGTTCTCTTTGTCATCAGGTATATCATGATTAACTGGCCCGCAACATCAGCCTTGCTCGCCATTACATTCAACTTCTTCATCATTAGCGCGGTGTTCTTCTTTGCGTACAGCGCCTTCTCGCCCGACCCAGGCTACGAACTGTACGAAGAGGATGCGCAGCCGGCCGCCGACCTGGACACCGTGACTGAAGAACAACAGAGAGAGCTCGCAGTCAGAAGCACGAGACGAGAAGGACCTGGTGTAGAGAACGTTAGCTCGTCAACCAGGCTGCCTAACTCTGGTAGGTTAAGGCCCAGAAAACTGCACACCCCCCGAAAACAGGCCAACGGCATTTCCAATGGAGGATTGACACGATGTGCCTCCTTTCCTTCCAGCAGGTGGGACAAGGGAGTTCCTCAAGGGGCTCCGGCTTCGGCTGAGCACCAGACATCCTGTTCCCTCCATAGACATGGTCCGCGTTACCATAGTAACGATAATCTGGCTGGTTCTCAGTGCTGTTCGTGTCTTGGTGGCGCTGGCGGTGGCGATAGCGAAGGTGGCGGGAATCCCGCGGGCCTCCAGGGTCATCGCCCGTCTACTGACGCGAAAATAGATACGGAACCCTACTACGTCCTGAATTTCCACGGAGGAAAGATGTGGAGAAGTAGGAGGAGGAGCTCCTATGCTGATGGGCATGTTGGGGTAAGAGCTGAAGATGGGTGTGGTATGACGAGGCATGGTAGTGATGGAGATGGGTATCTTGTCAGGCGGCATACCTTCAGTGGTCTAAGATCCAGGTACGCTTGGAAGAAAGGGCCAGAACCTGGCAACCTGTCCAGCAGTAGCTCAACGGAGTGCGTTCATTCGAGAATGAATCAGCCACGGAAAAGAGTCAGACCGTTTCCCTTCAATAAGTGTTATGATTCGGATGTTGAGTGTGAACATGATGCGTACGGACGTGATTGTGATCACGGATTTCACCACGAATGCATGGAGTGCAGTGATTTGACTTTGGATGGGCCCTTGAATAGCCGGGTGCCTGATGGTGCGGCCTCTTCGTCTGAGCGCCTTCACAATTGGGCTCCGGGCGCTCTAAGCACGCAGGATAGCGGCCCTATTTCTTCAGAGCAAAGCACCAGTCGACCACTGAGCGAAACGGATCACACAGTGTCCTCGAACAAACGATCGGTCAACAAGACGCGTGCAAGATTTGGACTATCGTTCAAGAAAATTTTGTCGAAAAAAGACGAAAAATCTTCGTGACTTAATCACGGATTATCCTGAGTATTTAAAACCGGCGTCTCTCTCAAGTGAGCGAAGAACCCATCGCCAGACGAAAAACATGTTTTCTTTAGCAAAAAAAAAGAAAGAAAAAAAAAGACGTGAAATAATTTATAAACTGTTGACCTCTCATGTATGAGAAACATTAAGTTAAGAGGTTATTATTCTACCTTTCGAACGCAGCAGGCTTACCGCGTTTTTAATCTATTTCCTCGGTCTCGGTCTTAAGGTTTTTAAGTTACAGATAAGACATTCACTTTCAGAGTATCACTTATAAGTCGTTGCTTCCAAGAAGTATCACTGTACGAGAAGAGGGGATGAGGATAGGAGAGTTGACCCCCCATATAGGACTTATTTTCGAGTTTCTCTTTGCTAAGGTATTTTTAGATATGGTACCCAGTTTTCCCGGAAATCATAGTGTTACCACGCGGGTTGCGTGGAAGTTTTTCGTGAGGATAAAAATGCGTGTACATGTTTAGCTGCTTGATCTGTACACGTGAGCAAAATCCGAGTCACGGGATTGGCTATTTCCAGACCTTTTGAAGCCAGGAGTGAGCTAAACATAGCTTGGATTACCAAAAGAGTTTGACCTATATGGGGGATTGACTCTCACCGTTCATCCGCACTTGTGTGCGAATGAAGTGCTGATAGAGACATCTGTTCTCAATCTGCTTGTACGTCCTCTGTATTGAAAGGAAAAAAAGCAGATGAAATCTTCGATTCTTTATTCGTAGGTGGAGAATTTTTGAATTATTTATGACCAGTCAAACTTGCATCTGCTGTATTAGAGTACAAGGGTGCGTCTCCTTGGGAAACTACAAGAGAAGATTCTTAAATGCAAGAACGGATTTTGCGTTCCATTACTAAACAGATTAATCCAACATGGCTTGGATCACGGTGCATCAAAGAACCAGACAATCCTTGCCCAGAGTGGATCCGTTGTTTTCTTTGATGCACCATAATCTGTTTAGTAAAGAAACGCAAAATCCTTTTTTGGATTCTTTTGGATTTAAGAATCCAATCTTGGAAGAAACGCGGATTTCCCCAAGGAAACGTACGAAACTTCACTAAATTGTAAATGGAAGAAACAATGCGAAGTGATTAGAGTGAAAGGCATACCACGGCCACATGGAGCGTTCAGTCTTGCAGAGCAGGATGAGAGAAAATAAAGGAATGGAAAGAATGAATAGCTAAGCATAAACTTTCTATCTCCTGTTGTCATTTGTTACAAACCGGTTATACCTGCACGGGTAGACTAAGTCATAAGCCGAACAGACTTGACTTGTAATGGTACCCCGTGGGTACCCCGTGGGTACCCCGTGGGTACCCTGCGATAGTGTTTGTAACGTCACTTGCGAATGAATGAGTGAATGTTTTATTTAACCTGGATATACGCTTAGCTTGAGAGCTAGTTTACAGGTATTCCACCTAATAACTAATGAAAACCTAACGACTAAGCAACGCTAATATCAGAATTCATCAGGTAAAACTATTCAAAACTATTATAACATTATTACCGCCGTAGTCCAATAATATTAAAATTAATGTCACAAATTCACTAATCCCCGAAATGTAGCGATCTAATTCTGTTTACTACGTTTTTCTTTTCAAGACTTTTAAAACGATGCATGTCGAAAGCCGTGAAAACGAAATTTCGTATAAGGCTGTGAAGCCGTGACTAGAGACGTTGTGTTACCAGAACATTCTGACCTATTGCGCAAACTTACACGGAAAACCGCTACCATGCTTGCAACGTGTCCTACAAGACACTATAGCGCTGAACTCGTACCTAGGCATTGCGCTTTCCAAGAATGTTCTGCAAATTGTATTCTATAAATTGACAAGGGAGGCAAATCAGCGCGCTAACATTGTGGACGCATTCCGAAACTTTGCTCTAATCCCTAAATTCTTTGCTTCCATCGAACACTGAAGAAAATGAAGTCAAAAGATTTTTCAACGAGTTGGTAGAATTTGTTTTCGAGTACCTCACGGCAGTTGGAGAAATTTAGCTTCGGCTTCCTCAACGTTGTTTTTCGCATTGCTTTGTTTCACATGATCATACTGCTACCCGTGGCCGATAAGTACCATCCAGTGCGCTCTCGTGCTCCGCTTCTCTCCCACGTCTTTTTATAGTGACAAATCATTACAAAACTCTCCCCCTGCTTGTAGCATTTGTTGTGCATCTGACGTCGCCCGATTTTAACACACACTCCTTCTTTTAAAAGTGAGGAGCTCAGTCGTAAAAAATAGAATAAAAGAAGACAAAAATATTGAAAAATTAAACAAAAATTGCGAGCAAGCTTCAGTCGATCCGTACGTCACAGATTTAACCCGAGAACATATATGACACTTCTTACTGATGACTGATTGGTGCTGGTTTCTGATGACAATTTTCACCCTGACGTGACAACTACACTTGGAGTGGTAGAGGCGCGATGGCCTCATGGTTAGTGCGCTCGTCTCCGGATCGAGCGGTCCGGGTTAGAGCCTTGGGCGGGGGCATTATATTGTGTTCTTGGGCAAGACACTAAACTCTCACGGTGCCTCTCTCCACCCAGGTGTGCAAATGGGTACCGGCGAATTTAATGCTGGGGGTAACCCTGCGATGGACTAGCATCCCATCCAAGGGGGAGTAGAAATACTCTTTGTCGCTTCATGCTACAGAATTAAAGCGGTATACGTTCCGGCCGGATGGGGCACTTGGCTCGTATGCAGACTTAAGCTACCAACTACATAGCCGCTACACTAAAGAGCACTCCTGAGCTAAGATTGAGATAAGGTTACTCCGAGACTTTTGAACTGGGAAACTACGAAAAATGGTTGCGGAGGCAAATGTTTCCCAGTTTAGCCTCGCGGGAAACAATTGTTACGGAAACAATTTTGCTGCTCGAAGACAAACAACTGAACAAACAAAAAATTTTTTTTTTGCCTCAGGTCAAAACATTTTTGCTTCCCGGACAAAAATTTTGCCTCCGAATCATATGTTTCCCAGTTTAGCCACCATGAAAACAATGTTGACTTGTTACCGTTGCTGCTCATTTGGTCTCCTTGGTGGTTTCCTTTCCTTGTTAGAGTACAACAATGGCTGACGACGAAGCCGAAACGGAGGAGCCACAAACAAGTCATAGAAAAGAGAAGGGAAAGAAGGAAAGGAATATGAAGGACGAGGAGATAGAGTGACTCATTAGCTTTTATGAGGAGAGCACGTTTGTGCATAGGAGGTAGGTCATGAAGACTAAATGAATAGGGGCAAAACGGAAGTGGCTTACTCAAAGGGAAATGGCGTAAACAGAATGGCCTACCTATACCGGGAAACATTGTTCCGAGGTGGCTGAATCAGCGGGAAGCAAACACAAAGTTTTCCTGCCCCGGTGGCTAAACGAGGAAACATTGTTGAATTAAACAAGGGGTTACGCATGCGCATTGTAATAAACTGACTTACGAAGAAGTTTGGGGAAGAATTTTTTTCTTTTTTTTTTAAATTTTTTGAATGGTTTTTCTCAAAGTTATAACGGATCAAACTTCCCACCCTTGCGTAATGGAGAGAATGCGAGAACAAGTCTTATTTCCACAAAGAATTATCATTCTTTTCGTTGTTTTTCGTTCTAGTGCCTCATTTGTTGTCTCTACATAAAATAATAATGGGAAACTGTCTTAGATGTTCACATTTTGACGTGTTGGATCGAAAAAATGTGTTATACACCAAACGGTAAATCGGTAACCGGCAACTGAAATTCCAAAATCGGTAACCGTTAATCGGTAACCAGATTCGAACTGGTACTCTCGTCCTCAAAAATTGTGATCGCAGAATATTCTATTCAACAATTAGATTATGAGCTCGAGATTTCTATCGCGTCATGATAGTTGACGAGGGCCCAGCCCGAGTCAACTATCACGCATAGAAATCGAGAGCGAATAATCTAATTGTTTCAGTATAAATCTACTAGTCGTTCAAAACTTTCACCTAAATCCTCTTCACAGACACTTCGAAAACGCCAATTTTGTTAACAATGGCACACTACAACGCTACTCACTCTCTATCACAGATTATAGTTCACCACTAAATTTTCTCCGATTCTTGTTGGTTTAAACTGATCACGTGACGCAATAGTGTTCGTCCGCGGAGAGACACTATCAGCCCATAGTGCCCGTCCGAGGAAAATACCCGGATGGATAGTA